AAAAAAAAAAAATCAACAAAAGAATAGAAAAAAAGTCATCCTGCTCAAATGTGTTAAGTCTTTATCCTGAAAAAGGTAGTGGCTAGAAATAGACGGCTTTCCAAGGAGGTTGTTCACGAATTGGAGGGAGAACGGGGAGGTGGAGCCATCCGGAATAATGTAAGAGGGGGAAGACAGGGACGGACCCACCGAGGTGAACACTGAAGCTAGAAGCCCACCCAAGACATAGTTGGTACGTGAATGGGACCGTGAGAGGAGGTGCTTCCGTGGGTGTGTGCTAGGCTTTCACCTCCAGAAGGTGGTCGTGACTACATGAAACAAAGTACTAAGCACCCCACTTCCAGATTCGTAAACGGAGGCTCAGGAAGATTAATATCTGAGATTCAAAGCAGAGGCTGGAAGGAACCCCAGTCTCTGCTCCGGCGCGTGCTCTCCGCCACGCTACACCCCAGCTAGGTGGGGAGTAGGTGGCGTAAGGGATCCACGCTCAGTGGGGACTCCCTGCGTCGGGTCTGAGCCTACCCCAGGCCCTTTCCCCAGGATGCAGCTGGAGCCAGGGAGCTGCCTCCCCACCTGGCCTGGCGTCTCTATAAATAGCCTGGGTTCCCAGCCAGTGTGCGTGTGACCTTCGGGCGGGCACTGCCGTTTATACCTCTCCCCCCAGGCGGTCCTTGGAGTGCAGCTGGTGATGACCCTGCTCGCTGCTACCCTCATGCATAGGCTGGCTCCGCACTGCTCCTTCGCGCGCTGGCTGCTCTGCAATGGCAGGTGAGCCTGTGGGAGGGGCCCCGTCGAGCCCCGCCCCCTCACTGCCTCCAAGAGCCGACCTGGGCTTGGTCTTTTAAAAAAAAAACTGTATTGAGATATACCTGGCGTACAATAGCGGCATATATTTGAAGCTCACAATTGGATCCCTCTTGCCAGATGTCCACACGTGGGAGACCGCATCGCCACCCTCGGGAGCAGCAGCTTCCCCACTGCCTTCCTGTAATCCAACCCCCCTTCCACCCTAAGGCTCCCTGTAGATCTCTTTCCTACAATGCTTTTTGTCACTGTTGAGTCTGGGAGCCTTTCTGAGATCTGGGGGAAACTGAGCTCTCTCTCCAGGACAGCGTAGCTACCTGCTCAACCAGAAGTCACCAGAGGATTCAGGCTCCCTCACCCCACCCCACCTCTCCCCAGAGCTTCCCCCAGCCAAGCCCCAGCCCACCTCCCTGGCCTCCCCAGCCTTCCATGACCCCTGCACATCCTGACCACAGGAGTTTTGGGGCCAACCCTCCCTCTGACTCCAGTCCAGGGTTTTAGGGTTCACTGCCTCCATCTCCCCATGCCTGAGCTCTCCTGACTGACTATCTTGGCCCTCAGTCTGTTCCGATACAAGCACCCTTCCGAGGAAGAGCTTCGGGCCCTGGAGGGGAAGCAGAGGCCCAGAGGCAGAAAGGAGCGGTGAGTGAGGCCGCCTGGGGCCTGCCCTGCCCACTTCCAGGCATTGCTCTGGGCACAGAGGGCAAGCGGGGACACCCCAGGCTGAGGAGATGGTTGCTGTCATTCACTGGTTTCCTCCAGTGGCCATTAGATGGGTCAGCCCTGTGGGTGGGTGGTGCCCTGCTGTCCAGAGGAGACCCGCTGGGGGAGAATGTTCCTCCAAGACCAGCACTTCCAGGGCTCTGAGGTGGTCATGGCGGTGCCTCCCAGGCTGGGGTGGGGTGGGCTGCCGTGGCTGGCTGGGGAGGGGAGAACAGGAAGCAGCTCCAGCCACCACCACCACCCCTGCCAGGTGGGCCAATGGCTACAGCGAGGAGAAGCCACTGTCTGTGCCCCGAGCCGCCCCTTTCAAGCTGAAGACCTGTCCCCTCACAGCTGTGGATGCCCTTGGTAACAGCCCAGCTGGGTGCCCCGTGCCCTTCCCTTGGCCCACACCCTGGTGGGTTTGGTTGGGGAACACCCTGGGCTGGCTGGGTGCTGGGTGGGAGGCTGAGCTGCATACTCCCCCCAGTTCTGCGTTTCTTCCTGGAGTACCAATGGTTTGTGGACTTTGCTGTGTACTCGGGCGGCATGTACCTCTTCACAGAGGTCTACTACTATGTGGTGGGTCCAGCGAAGGAAACCAACATCGCTGTGTTTTGGTGTCTGCTCACTGTTGCCTTCTGCATGTATCCTTCCTCCTGGATCCCTGCGCGGAGGAGGTGAGAGGGAGGTGGGACCCAGACTCCAGCTTCCCTGACTGCCCTAAATTGGTGCATCGGTTATCAGCTGCTGTGCTACAAACCTCCCCAGAGTTCAAAACTTCCACTATTGTTTTCATGGCTGGGCTCAGCTGGGCCACCTCATCTCCAAGTGGCCCTGCCTTCCAGCAGGCTGGGCCAAGCTTCCTCATCACAGCAGGGGTGCTAGCAAGGAAGAGGGGTTGTTGCAGGCCGCCTGAGACTTTGCCCAACTCAGCCCACCCCTGTCCTTGTCCATTCTCTTGGTCAAAGCAAGGCACGGGGCCAGCCCAGACACAAGGGTATGCAAAGAGAGCTCTCTGCAATATTTTTATTCAGCTGCATGGAGGGCCAAGGCAGACCTATGACTCTGAGAACCAAAAGCTGGAAACAGTGTCCTTGTGGAATAGGCTTGTGAGAAAGGGAAGCCCATCTTGAAGTTCACACTGGTTCCTGAAAGCCCCAAGGGTCTCTCTGAGGACAGATCACAGATGCAGTCCTCGTGTATCTGATAGCTTCTCAGAAGAACAGGAAAACTGCATGCTGGGGGATGCAGCTGGGGGGTGCCTAGGCGGGTTGGGGTGGTGGGACCTCCTGAAAAGACAGACTTGGTGGCCATCTCTAACTGGTCACAGGTGGGGTGATGAGGCGAAGCTGGAGGCCTGGCCCAGGTGTCCTGCCACCAGCACACCGCACGCTGCTGCCACAGGAGCGGGCAGTCCTGGGCCTTAGATCCTGGCCTTGATGAACGGCTCACTCTCCTTGATCACTCCTCTGCTCGCTGAGTCTCCAAACCCAGACACCGATGCTTGTGCTCTGGGGCTGGGAGGCTGCTGGGAGGAGGCGGCAGAGGGTTGGGGGGTGCTACAGGTGTTCAAGACCTCCTTAGCCCCACCCCCAGCAAGGTGTTCCTGACGGTGACCTGGTTGTACTTCAGCGCGGAGGAGGGGGGCGAGCGCTCCGTCTGCCTCACCTTCGCCTTCCTCTTCCTGCTCCTGGCCATGCTGGTTCAGGTGGTGCGAGAGGAGACCCTGGAGCTGGGCCTGGAGCCAGGTAGGTGCAGTCAGTCAGGGGCATGGGGTCGTGTAAGCTACTGCAAGCTAGGGAGGGTGGGGTTTAAGTGGCTTGTTCCACTAGCACATAGTAAGTAGGAGGAGACTCCTGAGCAGTCTCCACAGGTGGTTGCCTCCCTGGGCGCCCCCCTGGGCTCTGGGGATAAGAGGACACACGTCTCACCATCTCTGATGGTCACCTGTGGCTGCAGGTCTCCATGCGGGCACACCCTCCAGTCTGTCCTCTACTCAGCAGCTGCAGTGATTTGACATTTACCTATTGTAATCAACTTTGTGAGAGGAAATAGGCAAATGTTACAAAATTCATAAAGTACAAGAGGATATACATAGAGTATAATCACCGTTCCACCGTAGTTCTTCCAAGAGGAAACCTAGGCCACCACTTTCTTTTATTCATACGAAATGATAGTGTATATGGCTCTACACCTTGTCTTTTTCCCTTAAAAACAATACTGGAGAGGTCGTCCCTTGATGCTACATACAGTGTCATTTGTTGTAACGGCTACATGGTATTTCATTTTATGGATGGTGTTTGCACAATACCATGTGGTTATACAACATTACTGTACAGGAATAGCCATGTGCCTGTGGCCCTGCACAAGAAAGGGCGTTTGTAGTTTTGATAATGTTGCAAATTGCCCTTCAGGAAAAGATTTATGAATGTGCCTGTTTCCCTATATCCGCTCCAATGTGTTTCCTCAGACTTTCAACATTGGGTCATCTGGTGGGTGTGAATATAGTGAGGTTGAGCATCTTTTCCTATGTTGAAGAGTTATTTCTAGCTCTCTTCCAGAAAAGGTCTGTTCTTTGGCCCAGTTTTCTACTGGGTTGTTGACCCTTTTATTGGTTTGTAGGAGCTCTTTATACATTAAGGAAATTAGCCTTTGTGTGTGATAGGAGTTGCAATTATTTTTTTCTTAGTTCCCCATTTTTCTTTTGACTTTATTCCTTTAATGATCTTTTGAAAACATAATTTGGATCGTGTCTTTTCTCTGCCTGATATCAGATGCTAAGTCAGTCTGGGGCACGGGGTCATGTAAGCTACTGTAAGCTGGTGAGGGTGGAGTTTAAGTGGCTTGTTCCACTAGCCACTTAGCTAAGGGCCTTCGGGTAAAGACCAGAGTTTTCTCTATGGTCCACATGGCCCTACTGACTCCTTCAGCTCATATCTTCACCAATTCTCCTCACTTTTCAATCTTTAAAATTAATAATGTTTGACATATATAAAAGAGCATTCATATGTATATTACAAAACAACATAATAATGTTAAATACCCATGAACTCACTTCTCAAATAAGAACTAGAACATTCCTAGCGCTTCTCCAGGTCCCTGGTGCTCCTTCCTGATCCCACTGCCGTCCTCTCTTACTCCCAGACCCAGCCAGATTCTCAAATTTTGTATTTATGATTCCTTTGCCTTTAAAAAAAATAGTTTCATCACATGTATTTCTGCCCCTAAAGCATCCACGGTCTGGTTTTCCTTTCTGTGGTTGCCGTTGATGGCCTCAGCCAACGTGTAACCTTCCACTGTGTGCTTTCCTTCCTTGCTATTCGTTTACAAAACAGGGCTGTGTCCATCTATGTGGCTTCGGTTCTTCTCCTGTCGCAGATGTACGATGGTCTTTTGTGAGATTCCACTTGTCTTTATTTATCCATTGTCCTGTTGCTGGTCCTTCATATGATTTCTAAATTTTAGCTTTTTCACAGGGGCTACTGGAAACATTCTTGTTTCCTCATACACACGTGCAGGTATTTGTTACAGGCACAGGATTTGGGGATTGTGGGTACTTACAAAGCACCACTTTATAAGGTGGTACCTCTGTATTTTTCAGAGTAATTTCCTTCCTGCACCCACCAACTCCATAGTTTGGGGGCCAGTGGATTCTGGGCTCAGGCTGCCCACTGAGTCCGGGCCACTCTGCATGTGAGAATGGGCGAGGTTGCCCCACCCTCTGCCTCAGCGTCCCTGCTTGAAAGGCAGGGTGGTGGCTGAACCAGCCTCCCAAGGGGACAGCAAGGTATAAATAACTCGAGATCTATGAAAAGTGCTTGATTTTTGTCCGTCTGGTCTTGTAGAACAGTGCTCTTTTTGGTCTTAACATGCATTTCTCTGGTTGTCTGGTTTCTGGCATCTTTTCCTGTTTACTGATGATTCATGTTTCCTCTTCTATGAAAAGCCTGTTCATATTGTCACCCATTTTTCTTTTGGGCTGTATATGGTGTGTGTTTTTTTCCAAATTTTTATTGTGGTAAAATATGCATGACATAAAATTTCTCACCTTAGCCATTTTTAAGTATAGAATTCAGCGGCATTAATCCAGTCACGTTATTGTGCAGCATCCCCACCATCCATCTCCAGAACAGTTTTCATCTTGCAAATTTGAAACTGTCCCCATTAAACACTAACTCCTCCTCCCCCTCCCCCAATCCCTGGCCCCCACCATCTACTTTCTGTTTGAATGAATCTGTCTCCTCTCGGAACCTCATATGAGTGGGATCATACAGTATTTTTTTTTTTTAGTTACTGTTTTACTTCATTGAGCATAATGTCCTCAAGGTTCATCCAAGTTCTAGTGTGTATCAGAATTCCCCTCCTTTTTAAGGCCAAGTAATATTCCATTGTACAGACAGACCACTTTTCACTCATCCATTCATCCATCAATGGACACCTATGTCACTCCTTTGTTTTGGCTACTGTGAATACCGCTGCTATGAACATGAGTGCAAATATCTCTTCAGAACCCTATTTTCAGTTCTTTTAGGTACATACCCAGAAGTAGAATTGCTGGATTATGTGAATTTATATTTAATTTCTGAAGAACCAACAAACTGTTTTCTGCAGTGGCTGCACCATATTGCATTACCATCAGCAGTGCCCAAGAGTGCCAAATTCTCTACATCTTCACCAATATTTGTTATTTTCTGTTTCTGTTTTTTTTTTTTTTTAAAGAGTAGCCATCTTAGTGGGTGTGAAGGGATATTTTATTGTGGTTTTGATTTGCGTTTCCTTAATGACTAGTAATGTTTAGCATCTTTTCATGTGCTTGTATATCATCATTTGTATATCGTCTTCGGAGAAATGTCTGTTTAAGTCATTTGCCCATTTTTGAATTGGGTTGTTTGCTTTTTGTTGTAGGAGCTCTTTATATGTTCTGGGTATTAATCCCTCATCAGAGGTATGATTTGCAAATATTTGCTCCCATTCTGTGCATTGCCTTTTCACTCCATTGATAGTATCTTTTGCTACACAAAAAAATTTCACTTTTATGAGGTCCCGTTTGTTTTTCCTTTTGTTGCCAGTAACTTTGGTGTCACATCCAAGAAATCATTCCAAATCTAATGTAAAGTTTTTCCTGAGCTATGTCTCTCTCTCTTTTATTTTTTTTCTTTATGATCTGTAGAGTTTCTTCATATATTCTGGATACTCATGCTTTGTTACATGTGTTGAACATACTTCCTCCTATCAAATCTGATACATCATTATTTCATGAACCATTGAAAAAATATTTTTAAAAAACTTGTCACTTAAACTATTGCATGCCATGAACTGTCATATGTATCTTAATTTTAAAGAAGTTAAAATGTGAGGAAAAAGTGTATCTTGGAATTGATTAAATTCCCAGTTTGTGAGGTGTCTTTTTACTTTCTTTGTAGTGTTTTTTTGTTTCTTTAAAAGTTTCCCCTCAAATGTTTTATTTAAAAAAAATTCAAACCTACAGAGAAGTTGGAAGAATCCTCTAATGAATATGCCCTTGACCTAGGTTCATTTGACCACATTTACATTATAACTGACTGTTGGACAACATGGGTTTGAACCACACAGATCCATTTATAAGCAGATTTTTTTTCAATGAATGTATTGCAATTTTTTTTGGAGACTTGCAACAATCGTTACTCTAACTTACTTTATTGCAAGAATACAGTGTGTAAGAGATAGAACATATAAAATATGTGTTAATCAACTGCTTATGTTATTGGTAAGGCTCCCAATCAACAATAGGATATTAGTAAAGTTTTTGGGGGAGTCAAAATTTATTCGAGGATTTTCTACTGTAACAGGGGATTGGTACCCTAGACGCCCATATTATTCAAGGCTCAGCTGTGTTTTCTTTATACACACATATGCACCACACATTTTTGGGCTAAACCATTGAGAATAATTGCAATCCCCAATTCTGGTTATCTTTTGATGAAGAAAAGTTCATTATTTTAGTTGATTTTTATCTTGAAGAAAGTCCCTTTCCTACTATCAGAAAGACATTCTCTATTTTCTTCAAATTTTCAAGTTTTGCTTTTCACATAAACCCTTACATTCCTGGGAGTTTTCACTATTGTGTTAGGAGGTGAGGATCAGATTAATGTTTTCCACAGAATAATAACCTTGCTAAATAATTGTATTTTTAGTGAATTGTGGATTCTTTTTGGTTTTCTTTCATCCTTTCAAATACTTCCCCTTCAGCTCGGATGGGACCTATGGATTTTACAGCCTTGGTAGGTTTTCTTTTCTTGTTTCCAGTTTCTTAGTTGGTTACTTAGCTTTTTAATCTTCTGTTTCTTCTATTTCTATTTTTAGTATTTACGGCTATAAATATGTCAGTGAGTCCCACTTTTGTCTGGTCTTTACGTTTTGATTTCTATTTTCATTATGCAGTTTTGAGGTATTTTAAAGTTTCCATTTTAACCTTTTTCAAAAGCCTCAAACATAGAACTTTACAACAATTCTAATTCATTTCTAGCTTAATTGTGTTGTGGTTACGGAAGGCGGTCTGTTTGAAATAAATGCTTTAAAATTTGTTAAGACTTGCCTTATGACCAAGACTGTGGTCAGCTTCTGTGACTATTCCACGTGTGCTTAAAGAAAGTATACTCCCTGCCTCTATATGTCCAGTAAATTAATATCTCCATGTTTCCTAACTTTTTGTCAGCCATTAAAGGGTTACTTGCCTCTCTCGGATAGTGGAACACTGTTTCTCCAGTTGTTCTGTCAGTGTTCTCTTTGTATGTTTTGGAGCTAAATGACAAAGTGTTTTAAAAGTTTAAAATTTCCACATCTTCCATCTTTCCATTATAGTTCATCCTTCCATAAAATCAGCCATTTTATCTTGATAATTTGACCCCTTCTGATTCTAGAAATGCTTCTGTCTTAGTCTAGTTTATCTGGTATTAGCATAGCCTTTCCAGCTTTCTCCTCCACCCCCACCTTTTTTTTTTTTCAGATATAACTGACATATAACATTATATTAGTTTCAGGTGTACACGCAATGATTTGATATTTGTATATATCACAAATGTGGCCACTCCAATACGTCTAGTTAACATCCATCACCACATAGTTACAATTTCTTTTTTCTTATAATGAGAACTTTTAAGATTTAATCTTTTACCAACTTTCAAATATACAGGCACACCTTTCTTTTGGTTAGTATTTGTTGTATCTTTTAAATATCCCTTTCCTTTCAAGCTTCCAGTGACCTTATGTTGAGGTGTTTCCTTTAGAAAGCTGATATTCTCAATCCAGTCTGACCACCTGTACCATTTAACTTCAAACTTTAATACACATATATTTATTGTGATTACTGGCCTGTTTGGCTTTATTTTTATTATCTTACTTTCTGACTTTCTGTTTGTTCCATTTCTCTTGTTGCTGTTGATATTGGCTGTCATATAATGTAATATAATATGATCTGTCTTAACTGCCTGGCTGCTTTGTGATGTGTTTGTTTTTGGTATTCCAATTTAACTATGGTGTGTCTAGGTATGGATTTCTTTGTATTTTTCTGGTTTGATATATTTTGTGAGCACCATCCATTTTGCAGACTTCTAAACTGTGGTCTTCCAATATCTCCTCTCTTCCTTCAGTCCCTCTCCTCTCTCTCTGGGGCTCTGACTTTTGCTGGACTTTCTGTTCTGTCCTCCTTATCTCTCAATCTCCCTTCATATTTCCCTCCTCATTGTCTTTCTAAGTTGGAATCTGAGTGACTTCTACAGATCCAATTTATCAATTCCTCCTTTGACTGTAATATGCTACCTGACATTATCATTTCAATAATTATATTTTCCCTTTGGAAGAGCTTAATTGGTTCCTTTGCAAATCCACCCCATTATCTGAGGTAGCCTTATGTCATCTGTTCTCAGATTCCAACTTTTATTTTCCTCAGGCATTTCACACCTAACTGGTAACACCAATTTCTGAAGTCCTTGGGGGTCTAAGCTTCTTTTTCTTCTTTCTTCTTCTTCATCTTCATCGTCATCTTCTTGGTCTTCTTTGTTGTTGTCTTCATCGTTATCACCTTCTTTTTCTTCTTCTGACTGTCCTTTATGGTGATCTGTTTCCTTGTGTGTGTGGCAGTTTTGGTTGTGAACTCTTACTTACTTGCATTTACTCTGTGGAAAATCTAGGGGCCTGAACTGAGGATTCTTCCAGAACTTTTGTTTTCTCCTGTGGGAGACCTTCTTGCATGCCTTTCCAGATTCCTGGTATAATCCAAGGAAGTTCAGACTCAGTGTCCCCAGATCCCCCAGTCCAATCATGAGTGTCTGCCTGGAACCTTCTGTTCTTTGAAAAGAGCTGCACTCAAGACCCAAAAAGCAAATAACCCTATAAAAAGTGGGCAGAAGATATGAATAGACACTTAGCCAAAGAAGAAATTCAGATGGCCAACAGGAACATGAAAAGATGCTTCACATCGCTAATCATCAGGGAAGTGCATATTAAAACCACAATGAGATATCCCCTCACACCAGTTAGGATGGCCAACATAGAAAAGACTAGGAACAACAAATGCTGGCGAGGATGTGGAGAAAGGGGAACCCTCCTACACTGCTGGTGGGAATGTAAACTAGTTCAACCATTGTGGAAAGCAATATGGAGGTTCCTCACAAAAACTAGAAATAGAAATACCATTTGACTCAGGAATAACACTCCTAAGAATTTACCCCAAGAAAACAACTTCTCAGATTCAAAAAGACACAGGCACCCCTATGTTTATCACAGCACTATTTACAATAGCCAAGATATGGAAGCAACCTAAGTGTCCATCAGTAAATGAATGGATCAAGAAGATGTGGTACATACATACAATGGAATACTACTCAGCCATAAGAAAGAAACATATCCTACCATTTGCAACAACATGGATGGAGCTAGAGGGTATTATGCTCAGTGAAATAACTTTGGCAGAGAAAGACAAATACCAAATGATTTCCCTCATTTGTGGAGTAAAACAGGAAGCAAAACTGAAGGAACAAAACAGCAGCAGACTCCCAGATTCCAAGAAGGGACTAGCAGTTACCAAAGGGGAGGGCGGGTGAGGAGGGAGGGAGAAGGGGTTGTGGGGATCATGATTGGTGCACATGGTGTGTGTGGGGTCACAGGGAAGACAGTGTAGCTCAGAGAAGACAAACAGTGACTCTGTGGCATCTTGCTACACTGACGGACAGTGACTACAATGGGGTATGGGGGGGATTCAATAATGGTGAATTTCACATTGTTTTTCTTGTGAAACCTTCATAAGAGTGTATATCAATGATACCTTAATAAAAAAATAATAAATAAATAAAAAGACCTGCATATAGCCAGAGCACAAAGCTCTCCTTACACCTGGCACAGGGCCTGGCTGCCACCAGTGCATTCCTACCTGGGGAGCAAAGGACACCTGGGAGGGGCACAGAGTGGGCGCTGAGACCCGAGGGATGCACCAGGCCACGCCCTTTCCTTGTCTTCCCCAGGCCTGGCCAGTCTGACTCAGAACTTGGAGCCACTTCTGAAGATGCAGGGCTGGGACTGGGCGTGAGTTCTGGGAAGGGAGGGGGGACAGGGGCGGGCTGTGACCTGCAGGCAGGCTGCTGACAGGTTGTGGGGCTCCCCGACCCTTCTCTTCTCCCCAGGCTCCCTCTGGCCAAGCTGGCCATCCGCGTAGGGCTGGCAGTCTTGGGCTCCATGCTGGGTGCCTTCCTCACCTTCCCAGGCCTGCGCCTTGCCCAGACCCACCTGGATGCACTGACCATGTCCGAAGGCAGGCCCATGCTGCAGTTATGTGGGGGGCCAGCTGGGGGCGGGTGGTTGGAGGGCCTGGGGGAGAAGCTGGGGGATGGTGGGTGCCTAGGACTCACCCCTCTGCACCCTTGCCCCCAGGTTCCTTCTGCACACCAGCTTCCTGTCCCCACTGTTCGTCCTGTGGCTCTGGACCAAGCCCATTGCACGGGACTTCCTGCACCAGGCGCCCTTTGGGGGGACGCCCTACTCCCTGTGCGTATGCGGGCAGGGCTGGGAGGGAGGGTACCTGGGGACCCCTCTGGGTACTCCAGTCCCCGCGGCTCAGGAGGAGCCAAAAGTCTTGCGGTAAGATCCGGGGGCTGGGCCTGCCTTGCTAGCCCCCTTACCTTCGCACAGGCTGTCGGACTCGGCCTTCGACTCGTTACGGCTCTGGGTGCTGGTGGCGCTGTGCCTGCTGCGGCTGACGGTGACCCGGCCTCACCTACAGGCTTATCTGTGCCTGGCCAAGGCCCGCGTGGAGCAGCTGCGGCGGGAGGCAGGCCGCATCGAGGCCCGTGAGATCCAGAGGCGGGTATGGGCGCCCCTGGCGGAGTCCGAACTTGGGGCTCAGGCAACAGGGGCCCCTGTTTCTTGGGCATGGAGTCCCCCAGAGGCCAGACGGTCCCGCACTGTAGTCACTGTGCCTGCCCACCAGGTGGTGCGGGTCTACTGCTACGTTACAGTGGTGAGCCTGCAGTACTTGACGCCGCTCATCCTCACCCTCAACTGCACGCTGCTGCTCAAGACCCTGGGTGAGAGGTGGCGTGGGCGGGGCGCAGGCGGGCCTGGATTCCGCCCGGAGGGCCAGGGGCGGGGCTCGGGGCAGAGGCGGGGCCGGATTAGAACGGGGAGGGGCGTGAAGGGAACCTTTCCGGCTACTGGGGGGCTGGGGCAGGGCCAGGCTGTGGGGGAGGGGCGTGGGCGGAGCCTGGAAGGCCCGGAGGGTAGGGAGGGGAGGGCCCCGCTCTAGGGTGGGGTGGAGGCGGGGTTCGGCTGTAGCGGGGTGGGGGTGGGGCCTGGGGCCGGAGACGGGTGGGGTGGAGGTGGGGCCCCGAGGGCCTGGAGCTGGAGCCGGGCGGGGCCTAGGCTGACGTGGGGTCGGGAGACAGAGCAGGGTGCAGGGCCTCCTGGGACTGATCGGGGCAGGTGCCGTGAGGGTCAGCGCAGCCGGGGCTCCAGGAGGCCAGCCCGCCCTGGCCATCACCCTCTCCATCCTGACTTTTCGCAGGCTACTACTCCTGGGGCCTGGGGCCGGTCCCTCCACTGCCCCCCACCCTGTCCTCAGTCCACGATCATCCGGCCGGCACCGGGGAAGATGAGGCCCAGCAGACGGCTGCCCGGATCACTGAGGTCCTGGGCAGCCTGCTCACGCCCCTCTTCCTCCGCGGGGTCCTCTCCTTCCTCGTCTGGTGGACCGCTGCCTGCCAGCTGCTCTCCAGCCTCTTTGGCCTCTACTTCCACCAGCACCTGGCAGGCTCCTAGCCACCTGCAGATGCTCCTGGGGCTGCAAGGCCTGTACTGGGCCAGTGGGACGCAGACGGCCCCCTTTTATGTGCCTCAGCGTCCCCAGGTGCAAATCGGGGCCGGGAGCCCCTTCACCGCAGTGCCTGTGCTGTGACCCCCTTGGGGCCCCGCGTTTCTTCCCTGAAACTGTGCCCCAGGGCCAGCAGCTGAGGGTCCAGGGCCACTGCTCCTGGATTGTGTGCCTGGTTTTGGGTGGGAGCGGACACTCTCTCAAATAAAGGAGCCGGCCACTTTTTACAAAGAAGATTTGAGTGGTTTGGGAGGCGCCTTCCTTCAAGTCCATGTGGTCTGGGCCACTTAGGGGCAGGGTGGGAGCCCTGGGGGACAGGCTTCGGTGCTGAGAATGAAAGGGATCCACAGTGAGACGCAGGGCGACCCAGACGGTAAGCAGCGGCCTAAGGATAAGTGAGGAGAGGAGGAAAGGGGGAGAAGAAACACGACAACATTCAGAGGACAAGCTGGACAGGAGGGAGGGTGGAGGAGAGAAGGGGCAGAGGGCGTGGCGCTGACAGGGAAGGCGCCCCGTGCTGGGGGATTTAGTAAAAGGAGGAGAGGGCGCGGCACCAGCCCCCGTAGAGGGAGGGAGCGCAGGAAAATAAGCCCTGCAGAAGAATGCCTGGAAAGGGCCAGAGGGAAAACAAAGGTGAGGAGTGAGCACAGGCAGGGAGCTGGCGGTGGCGGGAGCCCAGGGCGCTGGGCAGGGGGCCCGCTACCTGCTGCCGCCACAGGCACAAAGACTACTTTCACACTATTAACCTTAGAAATAAGACTTGTCAGTTATTCTACCAGCAAAAATGAACTTGGAAACAGCAGCGAATTGCAAGTCAGAACTTGCAAACTCGAGCAAAGCCATAGGCAAATCTGGAAAATAAAAGGGAGGAACTTCTTTTTTCTAGAGGAAAGGGGGGTGGCTGCTCTAAGCAAAAAGTCCTTTGGAGGAAACAGGGAGTTCTGAAGTGTAGTGGCTTCTCATTGGCTGGGCTGTCTCTGAGCCAAGAGAAAATCTTCCGGCTGGTGTAGGAAAATAGAGGTTTCTTCCTGTGGGCTGTGCAAGGTGTGTCTGTCTATGTTGCCTCTGTAATTGAAGGTGAGTGGTTGGGTGTGAGAACTCCCCTTGCTGGCTTCCTGACTCCATTTTAAGTGAAGTTCCTTTATTCACTTGCACAATATGAAGATCACAATGCAGGCAAATGGGCACATTGTTGAGGCCCTGGTGACCCTGGGGAAGGAGGTCGAGAAGGTCACGGACTCTGGCATTTTACTGTCACATGGTGGGAACCTGGTGTGTGTGCATGCATGTAGTATAATGGACGTGTTGTTAAAAACACATTCATCTGAGTGCATTTTAAAGATCTTACTGGCTTTATTCAATGATTTCATGAACTGGGCAGGATCCAATCCAGCCATTGGAGCTAGGAGCTTGGAGGATGGAACTCCCAGCAGCTGTATTAAATGAGAGAATTTCATGGACAGAAGGGAGCAGGAAGAAGGGGGTTATACTGGCCAAACTTGGATTGGCTGTGGCAAGGTCACCTTCCTTTAGTGGTCGCAGGGGTCTGTCAAGCAGGTCACCTGTTGTTCTGATCAGGGGATTCCTGATTGATTGGTTTAAGGTTCTACTTCGGGAAAAGCCAAAACTGTAATTAAGTTTCCATGTGGTGATCTGGAGTTGATGAGACTCCTATTTGGGTTGTCTTCTTTATTTACACTGTGTGGATTGTGTAATCTTCTAGTATATGTCCAATGGATACTAGGAATAAAAACGATGAGTTGCAGCCATGCCCCTGGTCAGAGAGCTGAAGGGCCATGTGATCTGCTCAGAAGCCCTCAGCTGGGCCTTGCTGTTGCTGCCCTGCCATCTCTGCAAGTGTGACCTGCCTTGGGGCCTTGTACTTTATCTGGGCCACCTGCTCTGAGCTCCCTCCCCTGTGTCAAGTGTGCATCACCTGTGGGGAGAAGCACCCTCACCGCTTGCTGCCCCTCACTGACATCTTAAACCAAAGGAAGCATGATTCCCCTTAGAAAAGTGAGGTTATAAACAGATACCCACGGAAAGCACTGACACGCATCAGCTTTTGTTATGTGGATAAAAGTGCAAAGTATATTAAAAATAAGGGTTAAAACCTGGTGTGAGTAAAATTGTAACATTTCCAGAATATCTCGCCTGGCTTTAGTGCATCTGCATATCAGCAGGCATTCAGAGGTGCAGAGAAGTATGGCTTTGGTGCATTTGCATCATTCCTGGGGGTAGAGAGAAGTTCCTCTCCATATCAGTGGGTAATTACTTGGGCAGGAGGGTTGATCTGTACCTGAGAGGGGAGGGGAGGGCCGGTTTTGCTGCTGCTGGGGCAGAGGAGAAAGATGGCCCGGGACTGCAGTTTGTGAACAGTAAATGGGTTTTAAACTTTATTTCTCCCTTTGACTGATTTCGGTTTTTTGAGGTATTTTGCCCCAGGATTTCCTCTCCCCGGACTTACACCTGTATTTAGGAGAATCGAATGCATCATCTAATTCTGATCCTCCTCAAAATCCCTGTAAAAGCACAGAGGCTGCAGGTCATTCTGGAAGGTGGGAATTAAGGGAGGAGCCACAGTTGACCGTCAGGTCTGTGGACGTCAAACCTAAAGCTCAGGAACTATCTGGATTTAACCTGTAGAATCTTCCAGAGGCACTGACTGCACCAGGTGTCACTGGGCTGGGCTGAGGATGGGGGTGAAACATGGAGGCTGCTGGTGTGGAAGCTGCTTGGAAAGTTCTTAGGTGCTCAAGGCCCTCATATGGTGCCACTGGACAGCCAGGAGGAGGGAAGCCGGGCTTGGGAGGGAGTGTGTCAAATGGTGTCCGCACATAATGGAGAGAGCCACCATTCCTCACCCTGCGTGCGGATTCCAGAACCTTTCAGGCATGAGAACTGAAGGCTCCTGAGGAATCCAACCAGGCCAAGAAGAAAGACCTGAAGACACTGGCACCACGGCGCTCCCTTCAGCTGCCACTTTGGCTCTGAGTCCGCATGCTGCCAGCCTCACGCTTGGCTTCCCGACCTGCTTGTCTCAGTCCCCATTCATCATGAGCCCACAGCCAGGGCTGCCTAGGGATCTGAGGAAGCATCCAGCATGGAAAACAGACCCAAACAGAAAACAGCAACCTGGGGAAATTAACTCTATAGGGAAAAGAAAACTTACAAAACAAACAGTCCAGAATGTTCCCAGAGAGAAGAGGTTGTATCCTTGAAAGGAGAACAGTAAGTACTAAAAGGAGCTTCTGAAGAACTTTGTCATTTCTTTTGGAGCTCTTGGAGATGGAGGATAGGGTTGTACAAATCTTGCAGAAGGAACAAAAAGATAAAAGATATAGAAAACAGAAGGAGACACAGAGGAAATTAGGGGAGGGCCCGAAGAAGAATCTTCCAACTGAGTTCTGGGAGGGGACATCCAAGCAGAGCGAGGATTTATTAGAAATCACTATCTGAAGGAGACAATTTCCTATGAAGACCCCAAGTAAAAGACTGGAGCCTGGGCTGGGCAGAAGGTGACAGGTTGAAGGCAGGTCCAGGGTCCTCTGGAACCTTCTCAGCCCACAGACCCTGCCTACTTCCCTTTGCTCAGCCAAGCCCCAACCCAGCTCCATGCTCTTGCTCCCCCTTCCCCCTGTCTCCCCTGCTCAAAAACCCTCCATGGTTCCCCAGTACCAGACTCGGGAGTTGTTGCCTGTCACCACCCTGCAGGGGATTCTAAAGCCCCTCCTGGGGCTTTTCCCAACACTCTGGGTGGGGTCTTTCTCTTCCTTAGCTGCACTCCAGAATTCCCATCTGCCTTCCTTCAGCAGCATGGCGTGTTTTTTAAATTTTTTGCAGCAAGATCAGAGCGGCACACCCATCCGCACTGTCCATCCTGAAGAAGCCCCCCAGGCTAGAGAGAGTCTGAAACCCTGACTCACTCCTTCCTGATGATGCACACGATCCATCACACATGGGGCCTGCACGAGGCAGCGGCACAGTCGGCTGCACGCCGCCAGCATATGACATCACACCTGGTCCCGTCTCACTAGGCCACATGACACATAAAATTCCTGTTCATGTTTAGTGAGAATCTCTCTCACCCCTCTCACCAGGCGTTTGGGGCTGCAATACACACAATGGCTAAGAGGAGGGGAAAAAAATAAATGGTCAACAGTCGTGGAGAGATGCCCTGCCTCACCAGAGATCACAGGAGGATCTAGACTAAAACAAACAGGAGACGACACACCACACACCCCAACTGGAGGAGCCAGAGGCCATCAGGTACAAACCAGGGTGTGGCTTGAGTGCTGCATGCCACCCCGGGATGCCTGCGCTGGCATGGCCATGCTGGGGAGTGCCTTGGCAGCACCTGGAAGAGGCGACCCCATGGCTGGCAGGTCCCTGAGGGGGACATTCCACACAGATTTGTGCCCAAGGGTGCAGAAGCAAAGGTGGCAGTCACCGCCTTATTTCGAACAGCTGACAGCTGGCCTGGGAATGAGTAATTCAGCTGTGCAAACTTACGCAGTCAGTACGCACATGAAAAATTGGGTTCTTATACGGAAAGCTCCCCAGGATGGACTTGGGGGAGAAAAATACAACAGAAACCACGTAGTGTTAAATCACGAGACACCGTTTTTTTTGGTATCATTACTCTACAATTACATGAGGAACATTATGTTTACTAGACTCCCCCCATCACCAAGTCCCCCCCACATACCCTATTGCAGTCACTGTCCATCAGCGTAGTAAGATGCTGTAGAATCACTACTTGTCTTCTCTGTGTTGCACAGCCCTCCCCAAGCCCCCCACATTATACATGCTAATCGTAATGCCCCCTTTC